TTTATGTATACATTTGTCTATATCTATCTCGATTCGTTTTGCCTGTTACAAACAACCGTTATGTGAACATTAAACCCTTGTGCACAAGTGCGCTCGGGTATAAAAAGAAATATACCAATATTGGTCAAGAAAAGGAGTTTCAATTATTGCCATCAGCAAAAATTACTAATGATTCCGATTATTTGCCAAGCGTCCCGTGATTTTTGGGACCTGAAAGAGGCCGATATTCCGGGATTAACATTCCTAATGTGCACCATTTGAACAAAAACCTATTAAAATTAAATTTGTGTTTTCACTGATTGAAAAATCACTAATGGCAATTTTCTGCTATCAGTGTAGCGCCTTGCCTTGCTTCAAACACGTGCCGTTCAAATGTACAAACTAAAAACTGCAGTCAGATAACATACAAAGTATCATGAACAAGGATGAAGCAAAAAAAGGGGGTGTTAACGTAAGGAAGAATGCTACACACTAACCTACACATTTTCACAAAATTAACAAAATGCAACAAGAAAGTGTCAATCATGTGTGTATTATACATATGTCTGGTCTGTCATAAGGGTTTCCGGCGTTGGCAAAGAGTAATTTTCAAATCATGTCAAAAACTATGAAATACTGATAAGATTATTTCGTGAAGGCAAATAAATTAACCGCAGGTATCCGCTATAGTTGCTACCAAAGAAAACATTAAGTTTAAAGCAAGTTAAAAACGACGCTGAGAGCTAAATAATATATCTACATAAGCTATGAAAAAAAGAGGTGGGGAGCGAAACCCTCTGAGACCTTCAGCAGCTAATTTGGCGCCGTCATATGCACATACATACATACTTATGTATATACATATAGTAGCAGAATAATAAGTAGATAAATCAATTCATTGTGAGCAAACTTAAAATTCAAGCACAAATAAAGTCAGTAATTTAGTATTTACTTGATTTGCAAAGGTTTATCTTGTATACTATATATTACTTAATAGCTCTTCTGGCTCTTATATAATCAATGATAAGAGTTTAATTATTCCATTCAGTATTTGCTTACAGTATGTGTGTATGTATCTCTGCATTATGCACATACATACATACATACATATATGTAAAAGTCTATTTCTAAACGAATTTAAAATCTAAACTAATAACTTATTTTTCATTATTTTCATTCTTCTTCTAGACGGAATCCCTCAAAATCTCTACAGATTCGGACTTACATGATTGGTTTATGGAACGTGATATGAAGGATCCGGCTGTAATGATCTTAAATGACAAGCTCATGTCAGATGCTTTATTTAATTTGCAACCCATCAAGTCAGAACACTCCTACAGTTTGAATAGTGATGGCGATTCATTGCCGGATTCACCACGCAGCCTGCAAACGAAAATGGATGGTGAGTTTTTATAACACAGGTGTTTAATTGGTCATAAGGTGCTACAAAATTACTAAGTAAATACGTAAAAGTTTTTGAGTTATTCAAAAACAAACCAAAAATGACTGGAATCCATAATATTTATTGCTTATACGTAACTTAACTTTAAAAGGGCAGGCAGACTTGAAGTTCCTTGTGAGCAGGGTTGCGTGATTTTTAGTCAGTCAAATCCCAAATCCAAAATTAAAATTGATATCTGAACTGATGGTGGTACATATTCTTAATAATATAAATTTATTACTTGTTCGGCGAATGAAATCTGTTTCAACCCAAGATTGCGAATTTTAATTTTTTGATCATAAACAACTTAAGATTTTGGGGGTGTATTTGAAATTCTGCTAATGCCAAAATTATTTTTTATACCTGTTCTACCACTTCTACCATGATATAAAAAAGTACATGCAACATTGCTTTTTTTTGTAGCACCGTGTTTTCTTTCAATTTCATTCATATCGTTAGCACTCGACAAAAATTTTTTTTTAGTAAAACTGGACTCATCGCATGTTTTATTAAGTGCAAATGACCCCCATTACTGCAGCCTTGTTGCAGCCTTCGTAAAGAGGCGGAGCTATGTAAAAATATGATGTGTATTTGTGTGCAACAAAGGTTATCAGAATTACATAGAAACTGTGATTTCCGATTAGGAGATATTAGAGTTGTTTTGAATCAATTATGCGGGTTCACTAGGCAATTACTAAAATACATGAACTAATGCACGATTCAATGAATTTACGGCACATA